AACCACGGTTCTCAGAATTGAAAAGCGTGATGAGCACCCCTACCCTTCTTTTGGCCTCCCGCTCACTGGACAGGCCTTTGCATATAATCTCTCTACTCCCTTTGTCTCTGGGAACCACAAGGTTTTCTCTCCCATCTTTTTTTCGGGGGGTGGGGTGGGGGAGGGTTCGAGACAGGGTTTCTCTGTGTAGCTTTGGAGCCTATCCTGGCACTTGCTCTGGAGACCAGGCTGGCCTGGAACTCACAGAGATCCTCCTGCCTCTGCCTCCCGAGTGCTGGGATTAAAGGCGTGTGCCACCAATGCCCGGCTTCTCTCCCATCTTTTCAAGTCTCCTTTCAAATGGCCCATGGTCAGCAAGGTCTCCTCTGAGCATCACTCTTCACATTATTTAATTTTATGAAGTGTGTGTGGGGGGGAGTGGGTGTACCTATGTGTACCACATGTGTGCAGTACCCAAAGTGAGAAGAGGCGTTGGATCCCCTGGAACTGGATTTACAAATCCTTGTGAGCCATCATGTGGGTGCTGAGCTTTGAACTCAGGTCCTCTAGAAGAGTAGCCAGTGCTCTCAATAGCTGAGCCATCTCTCCAGCCCCTGACTATTTATTCCCTTTAAAAATGGCCTCTCCTGATGGTTCAGCCTTTAAGAACACTGGCTGCTCATCCAGAGGACCTATGTCCAGCACCTTCATGGCAGCTTACAACCATCTATAACTTGAGTTCCAAGGGACCCAACACTCTCTTCTGTTCTCCTTGGGCACCAGGCATGTTCATGGTGCAGATATATTCATGGGTAAAACACCTGTACACATAGAATAAAATGCCTCTCTCCAGTGAACAATGGGCCACAGATACATTGTTCTTCCCCCATCAAGAGCAGAAGTTTCCTGAGGTCAAGAGCTATGTTGTTTCTTTCTTGTGTGTGTGTGTGTGTGTGTGTGTGTGTGTGTGTGTGTGTGTGTGTGTGTGTATGTGTGTGTGTGTGGTTTTTGTTTTTGTTTTTTGGGGTTTTTTGTTGTTGTTGTTGTTTTGGTTGGTTGGTTGTTTTGTTTGTTTCTGAGACAGGGTTTCTCTGGCCCTGGTTGTCCTGGAACTCACTTTGTAGACCAGGCTGGCCTCGAACTCAGAGACTCACCTGCCTCTGTCTCCCTGGTGCTGGGATTAAAGACTTGAGCCATCATACCCAGTTCCACTTGTATTATTCTTAATTATGTGTAGGTGTGTATGTGCTCATGCACGCAGTGCCCAAGGAGGCCAAGGGCATCGATCCCCTGGAACTGGGATTATGGATGGTTGTGAGCTGCCTGATGTGAGTGCTGGAAACAGCAGACATTCCAGACACACCACAGGGTGGGCCTTGTCATCTGCTTGCACAACACCAGGTCTCCTAAGTGACAGACTGAGACCCCAAGATATGGGTGTGGGGGTGTGTGAGCCTAAGGACAAAAGTATCCCAAAGAGAGAACAACCTCCCCCAAATGCAGCTGGCCCCAGGGCCAGAGTCCCTGCATTAGAAGAACAAAGTTCTTCAAAGTCACTTTCTGTTCCCCACAGCAGGAGCCACACAGACCTTCCTGTGGCAATCTGTGTCCCAAGATCTGAAGCATCACTGAGCCTGTAACCCCAGCACTCAGGAGAATTTTGAGTTCCAGGCCAGTATGGGCTACATAGGGAGAACCTGTTTCAGAAAAAAAACAAGGGTGGATTATTTCTGAATCCTTAATTTTCTTAATACTCCCAACAATTTAAGCAGTTTAAATATATACTTATGAGGGCATTTTTTCATATAGATGATAGATAGATAGATAGATATGAAAAACTAATACCATTCAGGAGACTGAGGGCTCTCCTGAGCAAGGTTCCCCAGAACCTCTGAATTATGTGTTCTGAGTTTGTAGAGGGAAAGTGAGACCAGAGAGAAGGCCTTGACTCCAAGGGAGGGTAACAGATGCTGGAAGGGCAGGTAAGTTTTGCTGCTGTGTGACCTGGGGGAAGCCCAACAACCTCTCTGGGCCTACTTCCTTAGCAACCCTGTGTTCACAGTCTGTACATATTCAGAAGGGCTCCTGGCCCCCAGCCCTCTGAACACCCCCATCGTGGAGCCGCCTGGCCTTCCTGTTTACTCGAGGCCCCTCTCAGGGCTGGGAGGCGACAGCCTTGGCCTCCTCTGCTCCCCGCTTCCTTCCTCTCCCACATAAGGGCCTCCGGCCCAGGCGCTCAAGGGACCCTGAGGCCAAGACATGGGGGTGCAATCCAGGGGAGGCATCTGAGGCCACCATCCCACCAATGCCTTCTTCGGCGTATGCCCATGATGCTCCAGCAGTGACTCCAGAGCTGACCCTCCTCACCAGCAGACTACTGCCCTTCTCTGACCTCTGCTTCTCCCACCAGTAGAGTTGGTTTTCCTGAGCAGATTGCAGTGTGACCTGAGGGCCAGCTGCTGGAGGCCATCCCGGCACTGGACCTGCTTTGATTTTATTTACTTATTTTCAGACAAGGTATTTTGTAACCCAGGCTGGCCTCAAACTTGCTATGTAACTGAGGATCACCTTAAATTTCTGGTCCTCCTGCTACAGTAACAGGTGTGCCCCCATGTCTAGTTTACACAGCACCGGAGATCAAACTGGAGCTTTCTGTGTTAGACAAGCCCGATACCCACTGAGCTACAGCCCCAGCCCTAGACCTGATTTAAAAAAAAAAAAAAACTTTATTATTTTTGCATGTGTACATGAATGTGTGTACCCTTGAAATCCAAAGAGGACTTGGGGTCCCATGAAACGAGTTACAGGCAGTTGTGAGCCCTCAACCTCATTCCCACATGAGTCTCTGGAACAGAACTCTGGACCTCTGGAAGAGTGGCAAGGGCCCTCAGCCACCGAGCCATCTCTCCAGGCCCTAGTTTTGGCTTTTCTTTTAGACAGGGTGGCACTATTGTAGCCCTAGCTGATCTTGAGCTCATGAGGATCCTCCTGCCTCAGCTTACCAAGGGCTGCGTTTACAGACCTTCTTGCCCGGCTGTAAACCCTCCACAAGCCCCACCTACAAGGGCCCCTTGTCCTTATGGCTCAACATGAACACATCCTTTGCAGCTAGCCATAGGTGTGCAGGAACCACAGTGCAAAAGAGAACATTGACTCGAGGAGCAAGCTGGAGACGGGCCTGGGGAAGGAATGTCAGCAGGGTAGCTGTCCTATCGCATACCAAAGCAAAACTGGGGGCAGAGCTGTCCCCAATGGAGAGAGGTCTGTCCCAGCTGAACCTCACTGGCAGAGCCCCTGCCTCGTGTGACCATGAGGACCTGCATCCAATTCTCAAAAAATTGATGACCAAAAGCAATGTGTGGTCCTGCATCACACCCTTGCTTCAGCAAACCAGCTTTGAGGAAGTTTAGGGAGAAATGGGAAGCCACACAAGAACCTGTATTGGCTGGGTGACAATGGGGACCTTGCTGCTACCACAATAGGCTATGGGTGTTCAAGAAGATGACCTGGTTCTTCCAAGTCATCTTCAAGTATTTTAGGACTGAAGTTTCTTCAGTGGCATGTTGGCAGCTCTATGTGGTGACATCTGATGTGACCTCAGAGCTTGGGAGGTAGAGGAAGGAGGGTTGATCCTGGGAGTTCAAGATTAGCCTGACAACACAGCAAGCCTCGTCTTAAAAGACTGACTTTTGCCGGGGTGTTGGTGGCACACGCCTTTAATCCCAGCACTCGGGAGGCAGAGGCAGGCAGATCTCTGAGTTCGCAGCCAGCCTGGTCTACAGAGTGAGTGCCAGGATAGGCTCCAAAGCTCCACAGAGAAACCCTGTCTCGAAAAACAAAAACCAAAAAAAAAAAAAAAAAAAAAGACTGACTTTTGGGCAGGCTGTGGGGGCCCAGGCCTTTAATACCATCACTCCAGAGGCAGAGGCAGGCAGACAGATCTCTATTAGTTCGAGGTCAGCCTGTTCTACATAATGAGTTCCAGGCCAGCCAGGGCTACATAACTCATCCTTGTCTCAAAATAAACAAGGAAGGATCTCCCACCCCGTATCTATATGGAAATGACTTTCTTGTCATTACAGTGTAATGACACAAACATAGTGTCTAATGAATTATCAGCGATTTAGAGACCACATAGAATATACTAAAAGGTATATGCAGGTTCTAGTTCTGGTTTATTCTGTTTCTTTCTTATTTTAGCAGGGAGTACAGTTTAAGAGATGGTCTCACTCTGTTGCTGGGCTGCTCGGAGAGCCTTAGGTATACCTGCCTGGCATGCATCTTCAATGATCTCCTGTTTCAGCACCATGAATGCTGGATTACAGGTCTAAGCTGCTACAGACAGCCTCTTTTCTTTTCTTTTCTTTTTTAATGTATATCAGTTCTTACATGATAATCCAAGCTGACCTCCATCAACTCGTGGCAATCCTCTTGCCTCATGATATAGGCATAAGCTACCAGGCCAGCAATTAATAGCCCCCCCCCCTCTACGTAGGAGCTCAGGCTGGTGCCCCATGTCTAGCTCCTGCAGTATTTTACATAAGGGACTTATGTATGCTGAGCTCTGGGTATGTTCAAGGGTCCTGGAACTAGGTCCCCTCAGAGTCTAATGGACAAAGTGACCCAGTGGTGTAAAGTGTTCTGGCTTGATCAGCCAGGTTTTCATTAATTGAGCTACAATTAACACGCAAAGACAATGCTGCTTTCAGGTCCTTTCTGCAGCTTTCTCCTTTCCTGAGCACTTCTGTTCACACCTGCACCTACCTGAAGACAGCCATGCTCAGCAGGGCTGTGGGTGGGCCTCGGTGGAAGAGCACATGTCTGCACAATTATATGTATGACACGCACTAATGTGTGTGTATATGGCACTTGTAGAGGGGAGTTGTTAGACCCTTCCACTCTCCTAAAGTCAAAATGGGGGGCAGAGACCTCACCCCCAGACCCTGGGCTAGCGGGAGCTTGTGCTTCACTGTTCCTCCTAGCATTCATTTGTTTCAAATTGTTCTTTCAGTACATTCACCTTTTATAACTGAAATGTTTGTTTATTTTAAAGAACAGCTTAAATAGATGATGCAAAAGAAAAGGTGGCCCCAGTGGCAGTAAAAGAAAGGAGTACCATCACCCCCAGGGGCAGGCAGGCGTCCCTGAGGCAGTTGGCTACGGGCTATCTGGGCCTAGAGGGCAAGTCACTAGTGATGGGGACAGGGGTCAAGGATAGGTGAGCACCAACAGAGCCTTCCTATGTGATGAGAGGTGCCAGCTCTTCTGGAGACCCCTGGGTGTCCTCTCCAGGTTCCAGGCCTGTGACAACTCATCCTCCTTGATCAGTATGTTCTTTTCCTAACACTGAGGCTAAGGGCTGGGATACAACAGAACAGAACAAGTTTTAGAAATGGAAACAGCTCAAAGGGTGGTGACGCCTGGCCAAGGCCATACCAGGGGAGCCTTTGAAACCTCTCCTCAGGAAGACCACGCCTAACCTCAACTTCCCACCTAGCTGTATGTGCACTGCATAGCTCCTGCCACCTGGTAGCCATGTGGCTCCACCTGGTGTGCCCATGGCCCTTTGCCTATTGCAGTCCCAGCCCCAGTCAGGCATCGAAAAGCTGCCCAGCCTGGGGATGTGGCTCAATTCTAGAGTGCTGGCTTAGGGTACACAAGGCCACGGGGGGATTGATCCCCAGCACCCTGTAACCCGGGAGGGGTGGTGGAGCACACCTGTAATCTCACCACTCAAGAGATGTGGAGGCAGTAGGACCAAGGCTGTCCTCAGTTACACAGCAGGTGTGAGGCCAGCTTGAGACACATGGGATGCTGTCTTAAAAAAAAAAAAAAAAAAACTCACTCCAAATAGATGATGGCTTCGAGCCAAAGCTATGATTATGAGAAAGAGGCTGAGCTTCAGAGCTTCAGAGCCCAGGAGCTGTCTGTCTGTCAACCCAGGAGTCCCCAGGTTTGACATGGCTGGGCTAATGAAGGGCCTAGGATCCCAGCAGAGTTGGAGGGAGACAAGACACAGAGGCACAGGCAAGAATGGGCATGTAGTGCTGGGGCCTTGGCTGTGGCAGCATGAATCACCTCAAAGGAAGCAAAGAAAAGGGAGTGAGCCCAAACGTCCTTGGCAATTCCTTTAGTGCTCAAATGTCCATGGAACAGGATAAAGCAGTTTCCTGTGTCTGTGCACAGCCCAGTAGGGTGGAGGCGCTGGGCTCAAACCAGGATGCTTGGGGTCAGGGGGCAAGGGTGGGGCGGGTGGGAGCTGGCCAAGGGCTCCAGTTACTTCAGGGAATCCAGGTAACCGCAGACCTGGGAGAAGACAGTATCCACTGTGCCTTCGGCATTGACCTGTGGGGACATGAATGATGAGGGCAGCGGCACCATGGCAGGATCCACACAACCCCACTGTGATAGCCACTCACTCAACTAGGGCAGAAAGGAGAAACTGAGGTGGAGGGAGAGGGCTGGCCTAAGGTCCTACCATGAGGAGTTTCCCACCTTTCGCACAATGCCACGCTTCTCATAAAAGGAAATGACAGGCTCTGTGGCCTTGTAATAGGTCTCCAGCCTCTTCTTGATGGTCTCCTCATTATCATCCACACGGCCACTAGTCTCCCCTCGCTTCAGGAGTCGTTGGGTCATGGTATCAGCACCTGCATCCACATACAGTAGCATCGAGGGCTGTCCAATCTGTGTAGGGTGGACATCGTGTCATTGGGACCCGTTCCTGCCTCCAAGTCTGAAGTCCTACACAAAGACCCACTCAGAACATCTGTCCCTTCCCCAGGGCAACCAGAGGGCCTTCCCCAAAACATCAACCCCTGTCACTCCTCTGCTCAAACCTCTTCCACAGCTTCCTAGAACCTCCAAGAGAAAGCCCAAGGTCCTTACCAGATCTACAGCACCTATGTGCCATGCTCTGCTCCCCCTCCTTCCTTTGACCACACTGACCTATGCTTGTATCTGTCTCCATCCCATACCAGGCCAACACGGGTCCCTCTGCTGCCCTTTGCCACAACTGGGACAAACTGAGCCTCAGCCAGAATCTCATTCCCAAGGCAGTCTTCTCAGATGTGACTCCAACTGTTCCTGGTCCCCTGGTGTCCCCTCTCCTTGACAGATTATGTAGTTACCTAGTGACCCTCCCCACTTCCTCAGCCAAGATGGGAGCTGAGGACTTGACCGACAAAGGAGCCACAGCAGGCACAGGGTGAAGGCTGCTAAGAAAAGCTGAGCGTCACTGTCACTGGTATAAGTCACTCATCACAAAGATGACTTGGAGAAGTGTGAAAGAATAGGCCTGACAGCCTCAGACCTCAGTTCAGTCACCAGTGCCCCTCCACAGTGTCCCCTGTTCAGGCGGGGCCTTGCACTGAGGCTGGCAATTGTTATACTTCCCATTCTAGGCTATACCACCCCTCAGAGTGGGGAGTCTGCCTCTCCACCACCAGACCCCCAAGCCTGGCACAAGCTAGGCTGGGCTTGTGAGGGAAGGACCACTCCAGGTCTTCCTAGAACAAAGGGAGGGGAAGCCACCCTTCTCTGCCTAGTCTTGGGCCTGGCTTGGGACTTCTATACATCCTCGGGGCTGTCCTTCAGACTCAGACGCCAGAGGTCTCTAAGCAGCTGTCATTCAGACTGTCACTCACAGCTCCTCTCCTGCCTCTGTCAATCAAGTAACCTTGGGGCAGGCTATAGGCGCTTCTGTGTCTGGTGCCTGCCTCCTGGGTGGTCAAGGATTTAGAGTACTAAACATCAACTACCTTCAGGAAGGGGTGATCCCACCAGTTGCTGACCTTGGGCAATTTACCAGGTTCTTCTCTTACAGAAGACTATGAGTGGCAAGAGCCAGACCAAGAGCTGCTGCCCCCATCCATCAGCCATCGAGTGCTGAGACCCTCTGAGTTCCCAGGACCAAACACAGCAGACTCTGTAGCCACACTTTGGGTGGAGGTAGTAGAGCTATGGTAACAGTTAAATTTCTGGGCAGTGCATCCCTTACTGGAGCCTCAGTTTCCCATTTGGAAATGGGCATCTGGCCTAAGGAGTGGGCCCTGGACACTACCTACCCCAAAGCAGTTGTGGGCATTTTAGCTATAAGGACAAGCCACTTCCAGGCCCACCCCCTCCTCCTCTAGTACAGTTCTGGCACCCCCTAGTGTCAAGATCTGAGAATTTCTGTTACTTAGATTCCCTGAGGAAGCCACCAAGCCCAGGCAGCTCCACAGCAGCACTGACAGGCTATTATCCTAACAGGACTGACAGGCACCTTCATTGCTGGATGTGACCCTGACAATTGCCGGTTACACACACAGCTGGGGAAATGGGGAAAGACAAGGCATGCCCTCAGGGTTACTGCAGGCTTTGTGACCTCAAGGAAGCTAGACCAATTCCCATTTCACAGATTGGCAAGCTAAGATTCAGAGCAAGGCAAGCATTTTCTTGAGGTCTTTCAGACTCTTAGAGGTTGCAACATACAGTATCCTGTTCTGACTAAACCTCACAGAGGTGGGCAGGAATGAGGCTGGAGGTACTCTGCCCCCCGCCCATCAGGGTACCCATTTAGCCCTCCACCCCACCCTTGTGACTCCACACACACACACTCAGCACCTGCAGCCCCACAGTCCTGTGTGGCCTTACATGGTGTAAATGTATGCAAACATGTATGTGCCGGCATGTGAATTCAACACGTGCACCCCTGTAGTGAGTGCTACATCCAGAGCACACAGGTGCTTGTGTGTGCAGTGCACCCAGCCGTGTGCATGTCTGTGTGTCCTACGTTGCCTATCGCTTGTGCAGGTGGATCATGTGTACAAATGTCTGTCTGTGAACCTATGTGTTTGGGACAGGTGTCACTCTATAGATCTTGTTTTCCTGATGGACAAAGGCTTGAGGAAACTTAGAACTGCGATCCTCTCCCCAGCATTCCAGGTTCCTGCCATGGCTGAACATCCTTCTTCCATATCATGCGTGGTCACCCTGACCCCATCTTCTCTTCTCCCGACAGCAGCTTCACCTTTCCAACATGGCCAGTGCGGCCCCTCGACCCTTGGCATTTATGGGTGACAAGCCCCACAAGGAAGAGGTCTCTCAAAGCCTCATGTCTTTCCTTGCGGCAGCTATGACAGGTCTCATATGACCTTCCCCACACCCTCCCCCTTTAGCCCCAACCTCCACTACCCCTCCCTCTTTCTCAGCTGCAGCCCAGACCCTGGCCAACAGCCACTCTTACCCGTTGTTCAAACTCTTCTCCCTGCTTCACTTCCCTCGGGTAGCCATCAATCAGGAAGCCGCTGGAAGAATCCACTTTGGCCATCATTGCCTCCCGGAGCAATTCCAGCACTATCTCCTGTTGTACAGCACAGAGTGTCCTGGGCCTTCTCGCCCGGCCTCTCTGCGACTGGGCTCGTGCTGGCCCACCCAAGCTGCCCTCTTTCCTGGGGCAGTTGAGTCTTTCCAGGGTTGGCCTTAAGTGAACCCCCTTTCCAGCCAGGAAAGGTCCTGTACCTAAGGACACAGTTCTGTAGGCTTCTTCCTGTCCCCACCCCCACCAAGTCCAGGGTCTTGGGGAGGGGACAGACAGGGACAGACATGTGGCTTATGATTCTAAGCATGGCATAGAATGGAAGGGTGAAGTATGAGTAAAGAAGAGGGCCACTGGATCAGCAGGGTGGCCCAGTGGGTAAGGGCACTGGCCACCAAGCCTCATGGCCAGAGTTTGATCCCCAGGACCCACATGGTGGAAGGAGAGAACCAATTCCTTCAAGCTGTCCTCTGACTGCCACACGGGTGTCACAGAGCTTGCCTACTCCTCCCCATAACAAATAAAAACAGAAGGGGACCACTCGGTGTAAAGTTAGGGATCTGAGTTAAGCTTGGAGGTCAGGGAGGTCTGTGTGCTGGCAGGGAAAATCGTTCCAGTCATACCGGATTGGAGCTAGAACACCAAGGCGCTGGGAGATGGAGAGTGGGAGGCAGGGTCTTTGTAATTTCTGAAAGCAACTTTTGGCCAAGAGCAGTGGGGAACCACAAGAGGCTTCAGGACTACAGAGGGCCCTGGTGGCCCCTGGCGGTGTATCACAGGCTTTTCGGGCTGACCCCCAGGGGCTCAGGCTCAGAGCCGCCACCATCTCTCCCAGGTCCCCAGCAGAGCCCCTCACCAGTGGCACCAGCTGCCCCTTTTCCATGGTGGACGACAGCATCTTGCCCCTCTCCGATCCTGAGCTGACTTCGGCCCGCAGCAGGTCCCCGGTGGAGAGATGGGTGTAGCCATATTTCTGTGCAATCTTCTCGCACTGGGTGCCCTTACCTGAGCCAGGCCCGCCTGCAAGCACCCACACAAAAACTGAATCCCCAGGAAGGGCACCAATAGAGTCCCTCAATGAGAGAAGACCAGAGTTCAAAGAAAAGACACACAGCACTTGGGAGGCAGAGGCAGGCGGATCTCTGAGTTTGAGGCCAGCCTGGTCTACAGAGCAAGTTCCAGGATATGTAAAAAGACCCTGTCTCAAAAACCAAACCAAACCAAAACAAAACAAAAAACCAGAGACCCAGTCCCAAACTTCTACAGTGCTTGCTCGGACCCCCCCCCCCGATTGCTCACCATGTGCATGCGCACGACTTACCCACCACAAAGATGATTTTGGCTTTCTTCAGCTTCTCTGTGGAGAGAACAGGGGAGCAGGACTCAGTCACTGGCTAGACAGGCAGAGTCACCTCTGTGACCCAGGCTTGCACAGTGTGAGCAGGGGTGGGTACAGGGTGTTCTGGGTCCACTCAGACAAAGCCCAGAGGCTAAAAACTCAGCTAAGATCTTGAGGAGGTTAAGGGACTGGGATGGCAACCCCATGGTGCCTCCTGGGGGTGCTGGACCCCAGGTGTTGCTCACCTCTGGCTTTCCTGTCTTGTTCTTCTCGGGGTTCACTAGACAAACAGCAACCCATGACAATATTCTGACTGTTGCTCTGCTCCCTGGCTTGGCCCTCCCATTGCTGGCCTGCCCCAGCAGTACTAATGTGGAGTGGTCAACCACAACATATGTTGCCTTAGAGATAGTTGCCAGGGAGAAGGCCTGTGGGCAAATGGAGCTCTTACTCAGACAGGGAGGTAAGCAGATTTCCCAAACTGCCTCCTTAGAAGTCACAGCCCTCGTGGCCTGGGCTGCAGCCGGTTGGCAAAGTAGCATGAGTGAGGCCCTGGTTCCATGCCTGGTGTTGTGCAAAAGGACCTTAAAACTCACTGGGAAAAGGGAAACTGAGGCCTACAGAAGGAGGGGCTTACCCAAGGGACATATGAACCCAAACCAGAACCCAGGGCTTTCTCCTGGGGCGCCCCCTCTCCCCCGCCCCCCGCCCCGCTTAGGGAAATGGAGCTGGGCAGGACCTCAACAAGAAGCTTTGTTTTGCCCCTGACCCAGGAGGAGGTGGGATTGATGGCTGCTGGGGGTGGGGGGACAGAGCCTTAAGGACCTGTCAGGGGAGTGCCTAAGGCCCAGAGAGGCAGCTGAGGGGCAGGCTGGTTACCACTGGCTTTAGACTGTAGAAACACTCATGCCTGAGCAGCTCTCTAAAGAGCCACCCAGGCAGGGGCCCAGTGCCAGGGAATGGCGCTGCCAGAAGCCCGAACTCACCCACTCCAGGCACTTTGCCCATAGCCCAGAACACAGGAGCCAGGAAGACTCAAGACTTCAGAGTCTACCCCACTAGGTGATAGGGACACTAAGTCCCAGCAAAGGCCAGAAATGTGCCCCCAACCCCCACCCCAGCTTGGCAGTTGATTCAGCTGGAGTTGCTGCACAGCATAGTCCCATCCCCAGAAAAGGCCAGGCTTGGCTGTAAATACTAGCATAGGTAAGCTCTAGGGCCCCAGAAACCTCAGACAGACTTTGCATATGCTGGCAGGCCAGAGGAAGAAGCCCTAGGCTTCTTCCAACCCTTCCAGGCAATCCCTGTGAGAGTTCACCCCTTAACACATGGGCAGGAGGGAACCTCATACCTTCTTCCATTCTGCTGAGGTCTGAGAGCTAGGTCAGCACTCTGCAAGACAAGGCACAGGAGGGGTGAAGGTTCTCCTACCATCCCTGACGCAGCTTCCACCAAGCCCCACCCATGGAAACGGCAGGTAAGTGCCAGGCTCCAACATGCAATTTCCAAACTGATAGGCCAAAAGGGGAAAGGGACACCCAAGAGGCAGAATGACCTTGGAAAAGTCACCTTCCTCTGGCTTCTACTGCCTCTATCACCTCTCCAATGTGTGCCTTGGTCTGTTAGAAGCACCTGGGTAGAGGTCACAAAGGGGTGTGAATGAAAGAGTCCCTAGTGCATGGGGCCAGGTCCCTTGACAATGCTCCCTGGGCGCAGGAATGCTGGTGGGAGTGTCCTGCTTTCTTGCTTGGGGACAGGACAGGTAGGCAGAAGAATGCTCTGAGACACATTGGGGCACAATCCTTTACAGTTTGTTGTTTGTTCTATTTAAGACAGGGGTCATTCTCTGTAGTGCAGGCCAGCATCAAACTAACAGCAGCCCTATAACCTCAGCCCCTCTAGTGCAGGGGCTGCTGGAATGTTTACCACACCTGCTCTCTGTGGTTTGTTCTGTTGTTTTTAATTTTATGTGTATGAGTGTTTGCCAGCATGTATGTAAGTGTACCATGTGTGCGTAGTACATGAAAAAGTCAGAAAGGGGTGTCGAATCTCTTGGAACTAGAGTCACAGGTGGTTTTGAGCTACCATGTGGGTGTTGGAATCAGAACGTGGGTCCTTTGGAAGAGCAGCAAGTGCTCTTAGCTGCTGAGCCAGCCATCTCTCAAGTCCTTTCCAGTTTTTAAGCTGGAGCAGGCCCAAGTCCACCTCACGCAGGGCCCTGCCACTCACCCCATGGGGCACTTGCTTCACTGTGCCAGCCTCTGCCCTGGGTCTGTGTCCCTGATACATACTTCTGTCCTCTCACTCGGGCTTCAGGCCCCAGGAGCCACCCATCCCCACCTGTACAGTCAGCCTATGTCAGCATGGATGCTCCCCACAACCCCACCCCACCTCTGCCCTGCACGCTCATATCCCAATATTCTCTCCAGTCTTCCTCCAACCTAGATTATAGCCCACCTCCACAGAACCTCAGGGTACCACAAACTCTCCCCCCCTCTCTCTCCTCTCTCTCTCCAAACAATGGGCAGAAGTATTTTCCTTGGCAAGCAACAATTATATGACCCTCCTGCTCAGAGCCTTCCGTTTTTGTCCTCTTGACTCCCTAAATCAAACCTGAACCTCTCATTCTAGCTGGCAGGGCTTGGCCGTCTAGCCCCTGCTTTCTCATCTACTGCAATGCTGCCCCTGCCCACCTGCCCACAGGCCTTTGTAGTGTGACACCCAACTCTTGGGGCATGTCTTTCTCCAGTGCTACTGGAAACCTCAGCTCAAGTCTCACCTCCTTCAGGATGCCTTCCTAAATTCCACCCCCACAATCCTACAGGTGTTCCCTCTGAGCTTCTGGTGGCAGGGCACTCAGCATAAGGTGTCAGAGTGTTCTCTTGCACCATGGGCCTTGTGCCTGTCCCTGATTGGGTCTGGCAGGAGATGATCCCTGAACTGGACCCTCATTCCATCCTGTCTGCCATCTGAGGAGAGGACTGGGGCTTGGAGAGGAAGGCAGACTAGCTCCAGCCTCTGACTGGGGTCAATCTCAGGCCTGGAAACCCAAACTAGGCAAGTATCTTGAGCAACTTTGCACAGATACATGGCCAAAGCTACAGCCTCTAGGCCTGCAGAGTGTGCAGGAGGAGGCGTGGTTTTGCCAACCCCCTCAGCAGCTGCCCAGGAGAGGAAGAGTATCCAGACTCTGGACAGTCACCAGGATGTCCTAGGAAGCCACTCCACTCCACCTGCCCCACCCCCTCCTGGTAACCTAAGCCTCTCTGCCCCACAGACACCTGCCACTTCCTTGGTCTAAAATAACTTAGGTGGTGAGGAGGCCTCCAGAAGACCAGGGGTCTCAGACTGAATAAGGCTACAGACTAAGCAGTCAGGCCTTATAAGGCTTCCTGGGCCAGGGCCCTGGTGACTCCTAACATGACTGAGTAGTGGTCTTTGAGGTGGTTCAGGGAGCAGAGGCCCCAAGAGACAACCATCTCCAATCACAAGGTCTGGTTGTCCCAGATGTACTTTCCTCAGGAGCTAGCAACTACACTGTGTTCAAATCACAACTCCATCACTCAGCTGGGTGACCTTGGGCAGCTGCTGCCCCCTCTCTGGCTGGTCTTGCTACTGCTGAAGTGTCCTGGGTGAACAGCTGACCAGAGCTGTGAGTCAGACCCCAAGGCTCCTTCAGAGCCCCTGATCCAGCAGGAGGTGTTGGCCGGCCTCCAACATCCAGATACCCCAGGCCTCCCAACACTCAAAGTGACACTACAGTTCTTGAGGCACATAGGCTGCCCTTACCCAGGTCCTCTGGGGCAGGGAGATAAGCCACTGTCTGTTCCTCTTCCTTTAGGGCCTTAGCAGAGATCTGCCAAGGGCATAGACCTGAAGACCCAGGACTATTAGCTGGGACAAAGGGGTCTGGGAGGCTGGGAGGACAATCTCCACACACATAAATGCAGGAAAACACACACACACACACACACACACACACACACACACACACACAGTCACAGGGCACATGCACCCAGAGCTGATAGAACACACATGCAAACACACAGTTCATAACCATGGATACAAACAACAAATACACAAGACACACAGAACCCAAGGGCAGCCTGACACAAGCAACCCCTCCTTCCCACAGGTGATGTCTCCCCGTTCCCTTTGGAGGTATCCACACGGGAAGACAATAGAGCAGCCACACACTGACCTGGGGGAGGGTGTGGAGGGTGCTGGGGCCAGTGTGTGCTCTGCCCGGTCCTCTCAGCCGCCTGCAAAGGCGGCTATTTATAAGGCTGTCAGTGCGCGCACGCATGGCATGCTGGGAGCCAGCACTCTGGCGAGATGGCAGGGAAAGAGAAGGGAGGAGGGAGAGGGCGGGAAGGAGGAGGGGGGAGGAGGAAGCAGGGACTCTGATGGAAAGCCTGGTGAACAGTGAGCTGAAGAGTGAGCGTGCGTCCCCAACAGGCACTCCCAGGACACACAAGTTCTGCCACCAGCACTATGCCCACATTACTCCCCACGGACAAGGTTTCTATAGCTGGAGAAACTGACGCGCAGACAGACAAGCTGTATGTGTAAGATCTCACTGTGTTGGTGGTAAAAAGGCCAGACCAGGGAAGTAAGGAGCGAGGGGGACCAGGGTATAGACCTTGGAGTTCAAGGGCTACAGTCCTCATGCTCTGAGACCCCTACCCTGAGTTTTGTTGGAAAAGACTCTATGAGCTCCTCTGGGACCCCAAAGATCTGGTGGCTAGGTAGATGATAAGCCAGCCCTGACCCCATGAAGCTGCTGGGCAGTGCCCCATAGTTGAGCACTTGAGAGAGGGACTTTCAGGAAGCTTTGTGTATCAGATTGGGGTTTGCAAACCATGAGAGCTCTTATTTGTGAGCACCTGGGTGGAGCACTATGGTAGCAGCAGACTTCAGCTGTGCCCAGGGAACCCCTAAGCATAGAGCAGGACCCAGAGGCTACTTGAGGCTCCTGGGTGAGAAGCCATGGACAACTGGCATAGGGTACTAGGTACTCAAAAACAGCAGGCAAGGATGAGAGCTCAGGACTGGCAAGGTTCAGAGCTCTTGTATTTGACCATTGGCCCACATAAGACTAGGCAGTGGCTCCAAATGGCACAATGGAATGAAACTGGAAATTGTCTTGTAAATACTAGGGAGCCATAGAAGGTGTGGGTGTTGCCTTAGCAACAGCAGCAGCATGGATACCAAGATGCCTGATCTAGTCCCAACTCTGCTACCTGTGACATCAAGCAGTTGGGGGGTAGGGGGGAGGCACAGTGAACAGAGGTCCTGAGTTGTTCTGAAAGGCCCTCTTAAAACACTTAGGTGAGTGTGTCTACTAACTTTTGGGGAAAGCAGATTGATGATGTCATCCAAACTTCTACCAGATCCTACTTTTAGAAACCCATTCAAGCAAACACTTGTGGGAACAGAGTTCATTCAGGAAGGTTCTTAATGCCAACTGCGACTGACTGGGGCCATGGCACAGCATGGGAGAGGTGGTGCAAGCCTGTGAGAGACAGAGACAGGGGGATCAGAAATCCAAGGCCACCGCCCAGCTAGGATTTTATTTTTAATTTATGTGTAAGTTGAGTGTATATCACGTATGTGCAGGTGCCTGTAAAGGTCTGAAGCTAGAGTTATAAGTTGTGAGTCATTTGAGATGGGTGCTGGGAATTGAACCTGGGTCTTTCGGAAGAGCAATGAAGAGCAACAAGCATTCATAACCACTGGGCCATCTGTCCAGCCCCCAGCTTAAATTATTTTATAACTAAAAAATTCTAGCCGGGCGTTGGTGGCACATGCCTTTAATCCCAGCACTCGGGAGGCAGAGGCAGGCAGATATCTGTGAGTTTGAGAACAGCCTGGTCTACAGAGCAAGTTCCAGATGGCCAGGGCTACACAGAGAAAAGCTGTCTCCAAAAAAACAAACAACAAAAGAGTCAAAGCAGTTTAAAACACTAAAAGGTATTTTGAGGGCAGGGGAGATGGCTCAGCAATTAAGAGTGTGTACTGCTGTTCCAGGGACCCAAGTTTAGTTCCAATCATGCACAGCTGCATGGCTCACAGCAGCCTTTAACTCCAGCTCTTCACTTCTAGCTTCTGTGGTCACCTGCACGCACATGTACATGTCCACACACAGACACACAAAAGTAAAACTAAAACTTTTGACTACAAGAAAATTCCAGGGCTTGAAAACGAGCCCCAGGGCTGGAGAGATGGATCAGAGGTTAAGAGCACTGACTGTTCTTCCAGAGGTCCTGAGTTCAATTCCCAGCAACCACATGGTGGCTCACAACCATCCGTTATGAGATCTGGTGCCCTCTTCTGGTGTGCAGATATACATGGAAGCAGAATGTTGTATACATAATAAATAATAAAAAAAAAAATCTTAAAAAAAAAAGAAAAGAAAACAAGCCCCATGGAGTGGGAGTGGGAGTGGGAAAGGGGTAGATGGCCCTGGGCAAGCCACACTGAGGTGGCCGGCCACGCTGAGGCCCACAGCTGGGTCAGCCGTGGGTTAGTACTAAGAGAAGGGACAGGAGTGGGCGTGTCCAGGTGGGTTAGTGGAGCTCAACCACCAACATCCGCAGGAAACATCTGGAGAGGAAGCTGAGAACAGATGGGAAGACTATGCAGCTGCTTTAGGTGAGACAGAGGAGGCAGAGGCGCCCTCTGGCAGAGGGAGAGGAGACATGGAGCATGGCTTCACAGAACACACCCCCCACCCCACCCACCCCCGTGCAGACACAGACATAAGGCCTGGAAAACCTCAAATGCCAAATGAGGCAGGTTTGCTCCAGGCCAGGGAATGAATAGGGAACCATGGATGATTTCAGAGCCACAGAGAGGTGGGCTTCAGAAACCAGCAAGTTTCCAGTGGGTTCCAAGTGAGCTGAGAATTGGGGTGGGGTGGGAGGGGTCTAGGACCTGGGACCCTCAGCTCAACTGACTTCCCAGTAACAGGTCTGTATTCAACATCTGACCTCCTCTTCACACCCACCTGTGGGCAGGCAGAGGTGCCAGTATTATGGGAGAAATCCTGCTCAGACACAGATAGGGTACAGTCTCCCAGAAGCCTCTACAAGTGTGCTGTGTCTCCAGTACCACGTAGGGCTGAAGACACCCTTATTATGACACGGTAAGAAGCCTCTGCTTCTCTGATCACGTCCCTGCCTGCATCACAGTGGTTGCTTAGCTACTGACCCTGCCACCCTTTAACGTGCCTAGCCTGCTGCTGCCCCACTGCCAGCTGCAGACAACACTGAGCCTTTGCCACCCTGGGGGGCGGGGGGAGGTAGACCTGGCTGCTGGCCATCTGGCCCCGAGTCCTCCCACCTAACCATTCCTTACTGTTGCTGTCACTGAGTTACTGGTCCCAGCTGACACTGCTTCACTGAAGCCACCTAATATGGTTTGTGGCATCTGATGATTAACAGACCACACAGGACAAGGAACAAATACTAGGTGTCTCTCTTGCCTCCCCCACTCCCTGGTAGCCCACCATCTTGCCTGGCCTGGAGCCCAGGACAGCTCTCTTTCTTAGCCCTTCTGCAGCCTGTCCTTGTCACACAGTCACCCTTTGTTAGGCCTCACTCCCAAGGGAATCTTATCTGCTGTAACAGACTGTAATTTCCTCTGGAGTCAGGCACCCTTCACCTCTTGCCTGCCTGGAGTAAAGAATCCTGGCGCTAAGAGACTGGCAGCCATGTTTACAACTTGCCAAGCTCACTCTACGTGGAAGGATGTTTTCCTGCCTTCAGGCCCCAGGTCCCAGGGTTGACATCTCGCTCCAGACCATTGCTCCTTCCCTATAGCCCTTCTTCCTCTTTTAACTGTTCTCTGAGGCTTCAACTTTCCCCAACTTGTCAGAATTCTTCAGAGGACTCGTGGTACCCTTCCCTCCCCAGAACCTGAGTTCCCTGACAGCAGTATGTAACTACTGGTTCTCCAGAGACAAAACGCCTTACCCAACATCAGATCTATCTGGTTTGGACCCAACACTTCCCAGGCAGCTGGCATAGAGGATTGACACCCCTCATGCAGGCTCCTAACCAAATGCTACAGGCTGGTCCTTAGGATACTCCAAGCTGGAAGAGAGGGCACAGGCAAAAATGCAGACTCAAGAAATGGAACACTGGCCGGGCATTGGTGGTGCACGCCTTCAATCCCAGCACTCGGGAGGCAGAGGCAGGTGGATCTCTGTGAGTTCGAGGCCAGCCTTGTCTCCAAAGCAAGTGCCAGGATAGGCTCCAAAGCTACACAGAGAAACCCTGTCTCAAAAAAAAAAGAAAAGAAAAGAAAACAGAACACTGAGCTGGGGCTTAGGTGTGTTTATTTCTGTATAAATCATTACAAAACCAGATCTGCTCTGGGGTTGTCGCTGCCCCCACCATTACTTCGGTGTGCAAGGACTCCGAGCTGGCCAGCGCCCCCACACACTCCACAGCCTCCATCTGGAAGTCCTTCCATTGCAGGCTGTAGAAGAAGGGGCTTTAAACACACCCCACCCAGCCCCAATTCAATAAAGTGCTTGAGCAGGGAACAGAACCCAGGTAACCCAGCTCCTGTCTACTTCCACACCAAACTTGGGGGCAGACATTTCTCCCCAAAGCCCTCAGCATCTCTTAAACAGAAGGCTGCCCTAGTGTGGCTGGGAGATCCTTTCTCCATCCCAAAGGCTCCTTGGGCAGGGGGACCACCTCCTGCTGCAAGGCAGGAAGAGTTGTCTGGTCTTTCTAGAGGCAGGTTAACGGCAGCTGGACAGAGAGGCTAAGAAAACAGCTGCATGTTTTCCCCACTTCTGTCACAGTTCCTCAGCCAAGGGAGCATTTATATAAAGATACCCTAAAGTTTCTAGGAGGTGGATAAGGGCCCCCCAGGCTCCCCATTCCCAGGGAGCTGAGTCCCCCAGTGAGGGATGATCGATGGGGGAATTACACTTAAGTACAATATAGAGTGAGGGTCTCTGTCTGCACTCAGGAATGTGATGTCATTATAGCACGCCAGAAAGAGGAGGGCTTGCTCAAGGTCACTCAGGAAGAAGCCAGGACCTGGACACACGCCTCCACCTCCCAGCCCTTCCTACAACTTCTAGAACTCCACAAACTCTCTGGCCTGGCCTCCAGGCAGTTCCTACCCCGTACTGTATCTCTGATTCTGGAACTGTGGGGGCAACACCAAGTCCCCAGATCCTTGTGATAGGACCTCTTTGTCCCAGCTAAGGAGGAAATGATTTGGGGCCCATTCCTGGGGTTCGGGCACAAGGCCTTTTGGGAAAGGATAGTACCCGAGTCTTAGACTGACTCAGAAAGCCCCCTATACCCTGATTGACTTTGCTTAGACCCTGATTACACAAGAAAGACCCCCTGACACCCGATTAAACCATACAGGATTCCAAATCCCTGATTGGACAAGAGATAACCCCAGCCCTCACTGGCTGGAAGGAAAAAACCCTCATCAAGGCCCTGATTTGATTGGCTGGGAAATACTCCAGCCAACCTGAACTGGCTGGAAGATGGCCAAGGTCAAATGGTTCGGCCCAGAGCCACTTTGCCTTTATCTCTCCAAGGTTGCAAAGACAGGATGGCTAGGTCCAGGAGGGGTGGGAGAAGGTGATGCCGTAGAGCTGGGCCCAGGATGAGAAGACCCTCTTCTCGGTGATGAAGCGGTGGTGATTGCCCTTACGGCTGTGCTCATTCTGGATGTAGGTGACGCACTCGTCAGGCCCCTTGGGCTCATAGTAGTGGTATGGCATGCGTTGCAGGCGGGGCCGCTGGCTGGGCACAGCAGACAGGGGAGTCAGGGACATCGGGGCAAGGTGGGCACCTGTAAGGGGTCCTTTCTACTTCCAACCCTCACCTACTCTAGAGCTTCAGTGGAGTAAACCTCCACCCTTCCTCAAGCCTCCTTTTCCCCATCTATAAAGTGTGTATATGGTGAACTAAGTTTGTTGAACCATCAAGCTTCTTTTATACAAAATGGAACTCTTTTTCTTTCCCCAACAGAGCAGTAGTGGGGGCTTTGGGCAAGGCAATGGTTAAGAACCGTGGGCTCAGAGGCCTGGTACCCCTTACAGTTTCTGAGACCTTAGGCCCCTTCACTAAACACCCTCCTCAATTTGCACTCATAAAATGGGGAGGACAGTACCCTGGCCCTGTGTGAGGAAATGATGAGTGCATGCATGATCGGCTGGCACTCCATGGGACTTTCACACAGTCAGTACCAACAGACAAACTGAAGACTCAGCTTGGAGCGGAAGTCCCTGGGGCAGCTCCAAGAACAGCATAAATTTATCCAACAGAGGCCCTCAGATGTACCCTCAGCATTGTCTCCAGACCTCCCAGCTCCACCCAGCAATTAGAAACAGGGCATGGTCCTCAGGAGAGCTCACCTGCAATAGTCAGGAGGGACCATGCCATACACGTGCACATGGTCACACAACTCCACCGCAATCACCATGGTAAACCAGCCTGTGCTCAACCAGGAATGGGACTTTTCCCTGGGGGCAGAGAGGAGCTCAGTGAAGGAACATGCAGGCAGGGATGGGGAACAGGCAAGGAGAAACGGTCAACCCCCACGGAGGTTCCCAGAAGCTCTACCCACTGTCTGTCCAGGCTCTGCTTCTATATCAGACACTTGTGCATCACCCACTGGGAGCACTCAATGGAAACGGGTCATGAACTCAAGTGGCTAATTAGACAGGGCAGATTGGGAGTACCCATGACCACAAAGCATGCTAGCAGCAGGTGCAGCTCCTCTGGGACCAAAGTCTTATGGGGACAGTAGCAGAGAAGATGATGCTAAGAGGACCACAGAGCAGGGCAAAAAGAACTGTCCATGCCCTGGGGCTACAGCAGCCACCAGCTACATGGGGCTTGATATGTGTCTGAGGGGTGCTATGTCAAATGTGCACTGGAGCCCTTGAGTAGCATGAAGAGCAGAAAGTAGAATGTGTCATTCACAGTGTTTGATGCTGAATACATCTCTTAAAAAATATGTGTGTGTGTGTGTGTGTGTGTGTGTGTGTTGTTTGCTTTATTTTGGTTTTTGTTGTTGTTGTTTGTTTGTTTCTTTTGAGACAGGATTCTCTTTATGTAGTCCTGGATGTCCTGAATTTGCCATATAGACCAGGCTGGCCTTAAATTAAAAAAGATCCACCCATGTCTGTGTGCATACACCACAGAAATGCAGTGTTCACAGGGACCAGCAGAGGGCATCAGATCACCTGGAACTGGAGTTACAGGGGGCTGTGAACAGTCTGTCCTGGTGAGGGTGCTGGGAACCAAACTCAGAACTTCTGGAAGAGTGCAGCTGCTCTTAACCACTGAGACATCTCTCCAGTCCTAATTACATCTTAAGTTGAAAATATTTTTCATGTACTTGGTGGAAAGTGACTCTTTGAAACATTGTAAAGAAAAGTATCCCTGTAAAAAGTGGGACAAAGAAAACAAATTATGACACAAGCTGCCAAAGACAGAAACAAAAGAAACAACCACACTTCTTTACGAATACTAAAGGGAAATCCCACAAATAACTACAGATATAAATCTGACAGCTAAATGAAATGGGCCAACTCCTTAAAACCCATGAAAGGTGAAAGACGTTGCCTGAACTTTTTTGTTTGTATGTTTGTTTTGGTTTGTCAAGACAGGGTTTCTCTGTAGCTTTGGAGCCTATCCTGGAACTCACTCTGGAGACCAGGCTGGCCTCGAACTCACAGAGATCCACCTGCCTCTGCCTTCCGAGTACTGGGATTAAAGGCATGCACCACCAACTCCTGGCCTGAACATTCTATAATTACAATACTAAATGAAATGAATCCAGTAACTCTGGGGCTTGGGGATGAGTTTTAGTAGTAGAATGTGTGTGTGGCAGCTTTGGGCCCTGAATTCCACCCCTGGGACCAGAAACTAAATAAATAAACATCTTGTAGAGAGGGGCTCTACAGGCCCAAACAGTTTCAGCAACAAACTCTACCAAATAAAATTTATTCTACAAAATCTCCCCCACAAAACAGAAAGGGGTCACTTCATTGTACAGCCCCGACACTGAAACTCAGAAAGAACAACTACAGCAAAAGCAGCCTAGGTTGAAAATCCTAGCTAGTGCAACAAGGTGAGGAAAAAGAAGAGGCACAGATAGGGAAGGAAGAAAGAAAACAGTATCTGCATATGACCTGATTATTAATGTGTGAATAATCCAAAGAATGTACAAAAGTCTTCTAGAACTAGTGAGTTTAACAGTCAACACATTAAAAAACTAATCATTTCTTATAAACATATACTAGCAACAGGGCCGGGGAGGTGTCTCAGTGGGGAAAGCATTTACTGTGCAAACATCAGAACATCATAACCCCAGCACCCACATAAACCCCAGGAAGGCATGGTGGCCCATTTGAATTTCAGGTGCCCAGGAGGGGAACACAAAGGATCCTCAGAGCAAACTGGCTAGCTAGCCTAGCCAGACCAGTGAGCTCTAGGCTCAAGTGAGGGGCTGCCTCGGAATATAAGATGGAGACTGAGCCAGGAAAACATTTAACCTCAACAGCTCTGTTTGCATGTGCACACATATGTATGCACAACTGCACTCACACAGAAAAAATTATACTAACAATGAGTAACTTGGAGCCTAAAATAAAAATTAAAAACTATGACTTAGAATAGCTGAAAGGACCCTAGCCCACTCAAGCATGTGGTTCTGGCTGGCCTTGCCCTTCTCCCATTCCCTCTGCCTTAAGAGTACATTCCTAAAGCTAGCCACCAAGGTCTGTTCCGTTATTTGGCCACTTCCTCCTCCTGAGGCTGACTACTAAGGTCCAGCTATCCAAGTATTGAAGTCCAGCAATCGGAAGTCCCCTTTGGCTCACCTAATTTACATGCCCTATTAAAACCAAACACCTCATCCTAACACAGGATTTTCCCCTTGTACCTTCATAACTGCCATTTGCCCATATGCCACGTCTGTCTCTCTCTATCCAGAGGCAGTCCTTTGTCCCTCTGGGACAAACACCCCTGCCCCCTTTCCCTTGTTCCCTTCCCTTCTCCCTCACCCCCTATCTCCTTTACCACAGCATCCTAGCCACTCTAACAGAGACCTCCCCTTCTCCTCTTAAATTACACCTGCAAGGGCATTTGCTGCTGTTTTTCTGCCCGAGTCAGAAAGCAGTCACTTTAGCTTTTCTTCCCTGCTTAATAAAGGATCTCTATGAAAACAGGTGTTTGGGTGTGGTTTGTTTCTAATCCTGGGTCTGGGAGAGAGCCCCCACTGTGCAGGAATCCTCAACAGCTACAAATCTTTAAAAGTAATTATATATAAAGGGGGCTGGAAAGATGGTTCAGTCATTAAGAGCTGCTCTTCCACAGGACCGGGGATCAATTCCTAGTACCCACATGGCATCTTACAGGGGCTGTAGCTTCAGTTCCAGGAGACAGAACACACTATTAGGACCTCAGGTACCAGGTATGCAAATAGTGCACAGAAACATGCAGGCCAAAGGCTCAGACACATGAATCTTTAAAAAAAAATAATAACTGGGAATAAATCTACCAACATATATATAGAAGCTGAATGTTGAACATATTGGTTTAAATAGCACTGAAGTTAAATGTGCCCACTGTTATTATCGTTAGCTTTTTGTTTGTTTGTTTGTTTTCGAGACAGGGTTTCTCTGTGGCTTTGGAAGCTGCCCTGTAGCTTCCAAAGTAGCTCTTGTAGACCAGGCTGGTCTCGAACTCACAGAGATTCACCTGCCTCTGCCTCCAGAGTGCTGGGATTAAACGTGTGAGCCACCAACGCCTGGCTTTATCGTTAGCTTTTTTGACATAGCTACCAAAATATTTTAAGTTACATGTGGCCCACATTGTATTTATATAAGAGGGGATTAAGTTTTCTATGGAGATTAGTCGAAGAACATGTTTCCTTAGAACAGAGCATGCTGGAGCACCTATGTACTTATAGCAAGGCATGCTGGGGACAGTCTAGACTCTAGGTGCCACCTTGAAAGATGCTAGGAACAGATATGATAATAGTGCAGAGCATTCTGGGAGCCCCTGTTCCCTTGGAGTGGAGCATGCTGGGAAGAAGCAGAGAGCAGGGGCAGGAGAGTGGGGTCAAGGTGAACACTTTGAAGATGAGTCACATTAACAGCCAAGGAGAGCTGGGGGACCCTGACCAGAGGGGGGTGGCAAGAGATGACTACACCCTCAACATAGCGCATGCAGGGATTATCAGGCCAGGGATGACTGCAATGGGCAGGTGGGAGGCTGGTACCTGTCCTTGCCCGTCTCACCCCGGAAGAGGTCGTCAAACTGCTGCATGCGGGTGGGAGAGACGGCATAGGCCTCCATGTTAGGGAACGCGAGGCCCGCCCGCTGGATGACACGCAGGAGGCTGCCCTGTGGCTTCTGCATCTTGTTCGGAGGGCCCCAGAAGATGAACACCGTTTCAGGGGTCCGGTTGACAAATTCCTGGGGCTTCCGCAGCACACGGAACACACTGGAATGGGCCACTACGCGGAAGGTGGTTTTGTTGCCGACGTCGGCTGAGTAGCCAGTGGTGGGAGCATCGTTCATGCGGATGGTGCACTCAGCCCGCTCAATCTCAGGGCCTAGTTTGGTGCCCAGCAGGTGGCTGGAGCTGGTGATGATCACACATTGGTTGCACCGGGAGGGCAGCGTCTGAGGAGCAAGAAGAGGGGATTGCTCTGTCCAGGGTCTTGTGCTACCAGGCCTGCGGGAGCCAGGGACCACTGTGAACTCTCAAAGCACATCCATTCTACCTTCTGTGGATATTCCTAACCAGCCAGGGGCAGAGCAACAAGGGACAGCCAGTTCCTCTATCTCAAGATGTCTGCCATCCTGGAGTGCAGCGCAGGCTCCAGAGGTCCCACCCTCCCAGAGTCTCTACAGGCAGTTTATGGATGCTGGGGTAAGGGGTGGGGGGGATGAGAAGCTACAGGAGAATGAAGATGACCAAAATACAGTATATACATGCATGAAAATGTCCTAAGAAGAGTTGGAGAGATGGCTCTTTGGTTAAGAGCACTGGCTTCTCTTCCAGAGGTCCTGAGTTCGATTCCCAGAAACCGCATGGCAGCTCACAACCATCTATAATGGGATCTGGTGCCCTCTTCTGATATGCAGGCATACATGCAGACACAACACTGTATACATATTAAATAAATCTTAAAAAAAAGAAAATGTCATAAGAAAACCATTATATAACTAATATATGCTAATAAAAAAAAAAACAAAAAAGGAGACACTTAGAGTTGGAAGGACAGATAACATAATACATGCTAGTTAAAAAACATGGAAAGAGGCTGGGCATTGGTGGCACACGCCTTTGATCCCAGCACTAAGGAGGCAAAGGCAGGAGGATCTCTGTGAGTTTGAGGCCAGCCTGGTCTACAGAGCAAGTGCCAGGATAGACTCCAAAGCTACACAGAGAAACCCTGTCTCGAAAAATCAAACACCAAAAACCAAAACCAAAAAAAAAAAAAAAAAAGGAAGGAGGTGATCAGAAACAAAGATGGAGACTTTTTTTAGAACAGCCAGGTATCGGTAGCACACGCCTTTAATCCCAGCACTCTGGATGCAGAGGCAGGTACGTCTCTTGTGAGTCTGAGGCCAGCCTGGTCTACAGAGCGAGTTCCAGAACAGCCAGAGTGAAAGAAGGAAAAACAAAGAACAGTTTTCAGAGTCACATCTGAAGAGCAAGTTGCCACTTAGGGAAAGATGCTCCAGGCCAAGGAAAAGCAGGTACACAGACTGAGACGGAAGTACAGTCAGCACATTGAAACGCGGAAGACGGAAGGAAGCTGTGTATGGCCCAGCTCCCAAAAAGGATGCTTCCTCCAAATGTACCAGGTCATTTTCCATGGTCCCAAAAGCCAAATACACACTCCCTAGCTAGTTTTCTTGCCATCAGGTTGGGAGATGCAACAAGCCAGGCTCAGACTCCTTTGCCTTCAAACTACCAACACTAGAGCTGTCCCTTTCTTCCTATCTGCTCTCCCATTCCTCTACCCCCTGCTTTGGGTCCCTTCCAGGGAGGGTGTATTCACAGCAAAGGGCCCTCCACTGGGTATACAAAGACTCTGAAGAAAATTCAGCAAGGCAAGACAGCCTGAATACACAAACCTAAGGCAAAGAGAGGTACCCAGGGAAGACATGACTGGCTAAGAAACCAGGCCCATAGAATTGAGAGTGCTGAATCCTAACCATTAGACCCCGGCCACTCAACCTTTCTATCTAGCTGCAATTCAGCAGGGGCTGGGCAAATCTCTGGCCTCCCAACGTTGTGTGGTTTTAGCTAGTTGATTCATGTCTCTCAGCCTTGATCTCCTCATCATTTCTAGGGAAACAATAGCACTGAGCAGCGGGCACTCATGAAAGGGCAGCCATTATCATTCCTGCTTTTGTGTTCTGCAGAACCTCAGGGGTCTCCTCCCAAGTTTATCGGGGTGTGTCCCCAGAGATCCATGAAAACTGGAAGTCTGACTCATGTGTGTGCATGTGTGTTGGGGGTGGTAGCATTCCACAACACACTCCCACGTGTGGGGAGCTCAGAGGACAACTCGCTGGAGTCAGTTTTTCCTTCCACTATGTGGACTCCAGAAATTGATCTCAGATCATCAGGTTCGGTGGCAGCAAGCACCTTACCTACTGAGCCATCTCACTGAATCAAGACAACAGACTTTTTAACACTAAGGAGGCCCATTGCTGAACACCTGCCCGAGATCCCACCCCAAGCAAAGGGCCATGATCTTGACTCTTGACCTTCATCCATCCTCTCCTCTAGGAGGCAGAAGGATGTGGGAGAGAAGATTTGGGAGGCGGGCATATCAGCAGTCAGGGAACTCCTCACTGAAGCTGCTGCTCTACCTTGTTTCCGAGGATTGGGAAGTAGGCATTGGAGAAACTCCACTTCTTGAGGTTGACAGGCCGACGCATGCGGCCCCTCAGGGAGCCATAGTGGAAGACCTCGTTGGCACTGTTGGAGCTGTAGAGGATGAGGATGGTGATGAGAGCAAAGAGGACCACAAACACTGCTGACCGCTGCTCCTGGAGAGGGAAGAGGCCATTGAGGGTTCAGGCAAACACACAACAGGCTTGGGACGCCACCTGCCTGCTGGCCACCGTCCAGACCAGATGAGTTCGGGTACCACTTCCTTCTCCTGGCATTCCACCTATTCAATCTCCTTACATACCCCCTCTCCTCCACCCCCAGTCCTAGGGATTGAACCAAGGGCCTCATTTTTTGTTGTTGTTGTTTTTTGAGACAGGGTTTCCCTGTGTAACAGCCCTGGCTGTGTCCTGGAACTCACTCTGTAGACCAGGCTGGCCTTGAACTCACAGAGATCCACCTGCCTCTGCCTCCCAATCAAAGGTGTGCACTACCACCTGGCCTAGGGCCTCATGTATAGGAGACAATTACTCCACCTCTAAACTATCCAGCCCATGTCACTTGCAAACCACTATCCCTTCAAACTAGACCTGTAGCTCTGAGTACTAAGGCTGGATCAGCCTTGTTCCGCACGCCCCTGGGTGAGGCCTGCAGAAAGAGCTCAAGAGAGCCCAGCATGGCGCTGCACGCTTCCCAGTGCTTTGGAGGCTGAGGCCTGAGGACTGCTACAAGTCTGATGCTAGCCTGGGCTACAGAGTCCAGGAAAAAAGTGTTCCTGGACTGAACTGGACGTGGACAAGGTTCCCTACAGGGGATGCCTAGACGCGGGTGGGGAGAGGGCAATCCAAATGCAAGGATCCAGATCCTCCAGTGATAGTAACTCTCCATAAGTTTCCAGTGTACATCTGGCCACACACACAGGTTCAGAGACTCAACAAACCACAATCAACAGTATAGTCAAGCCTACAAGGGATGTACCAGTTCTGAACATATATAGGCTTCCTGTCTTGTTATTAGTCCCTAATTTTGTGAGTTTTTTTCCTTTCTTTCTTTCTTTCTTTCTTTCTTTTTTTTTTGGTGAAAAATTGTCTCACATAGCCCATGCCACCTCCAATTCACTATGCAATCAAGTCTAACTTTGATCTACTGATCCTCTTGCCTCCACCTCCTAAGTGCTAGGATAACAAGCAGATACCAGCACACCAGCAGTTTTTGTTGTACACACTGTGTTAGGCATTATAAGTTATCTAAAGATATGGGTTATATGCAATTATTAAGCCATCCTATATGAAGAACTTGAACTCACACCCTTGGATTTCTGTCTCCTCAGGAGGTCCTGGGAGCAATCCCTTAGAAATATGAAGGAACATGTCACTTCTCGCTCCATGCTTATCTGTTCTGAATACTTGGTGAAAATGGATCTGGTCTCTTTTCAGTATTTTTCCTTGCCAGAGTATTTTAACATTTCTCAGTAGAGGGCGCTGGAGAGACACTGTAAAAATAAAGGCAGTCTGGGTAGGCCCCCCTAAGTCTCTTTGGTTCCTACTGGGACCACAAGTTATTTAAAGTTCAGCTCCTCCAGGACACTCAACCACGGGCAGCACCCAGAAGTCAGTAGCTTCGCCTTCACAAGGCCAGGTAATAGAAGGTGAGTGGGCTACAGTTGTGCTGTCTCCAGCTGGGCCTTCACCTTAGCCCTTGGGGCTTACACCTAGTTTAATAATCAGGCTGCATCCTGACCAACCCACTGCAAGCAGGAAGTATCAGAAGGGAGAAAAGGGATTTAATCCATGCAGCCAGCTGAACAACAACTGCAGAGCAAAGTGTGTCAACTGTCTCCCCTCGGCAGGAGGGGCTCCCCGGCCCCTGCAGGGCCCAGCCCCCCCCCCCCCCCCCCCCCCCAGTATCACCAGGGTAGCATACTGAACAAAACCTCGGGTTTCAAGTGTAGGTCCCACTGAATGCTTAGCATTATTTGTATGACCAAAATTCAGAAAGCCCACGTCTGACAGCTGGGGGTGCAGTCAGTTGACAGAGTGCTTGACTAGCCTGCTTGAAGCCCTGGTTTTGATTCCCAGCATGACATAAACTGGGCATGGTGGTACAGGCCTGAAGTCCCAGCACTTGGGAGGTAGAAACAGGAGGATCACAAGTTCTAGGTCATCCTAGACTACATATCGAGGCCAGCTTGGGATAATCAGGACCCTGTCCCATGCAAACCATTTTTTCCCCCTAAGTCTAGCCATGACAAGTCACAGACACTCACATTTCCTTTTGTTTGTTTGTTTGAGACAGGTCTCTCTAGGCCAGGCTGGCCCTGGAACTCCCAGAGATCCTCCTGCCTTGGCTTCCTGAGTGCTGAGACTGAGTTCCATTCCCTGCTGCTCCTTGCTCCATTACCAAGTCTCTGTATTAAGTCACCCCTGTCAAAGGACTGTTATCTTTCTCCTAGACTCAGACTACCATAACCACACGCCCCACTTTCAAATCTCACATTCTGCCATGGAGCCCGGGGAAGGTACCAAACACATAGTAGGTACCCAGGAAACATGAACAGATACATGATGGGGAACTCAGGTACTCTGACTTTGAATGTGGCATTCCCCCTACCCCATTTCCTTCACAGCATCCACAGACAACTTTACACAGCACTTTCCCACTGATAAGTCAAGCCTAGGACATCAGAGAGGACACTGGGCCCGGACAGAGGCAAGAGCTTCCCAGATAAACGACTCAGTGGCTGAAGCGGATTTTGAACGGAGGCCTCCTATGTGGGTAGGAGTGACAGTGTCACGCCAAGGAAGGTTTAAAAGAGTCCATTCCACAGATATCGAGCAGCTCAGATGGGGATAAGAAATAAAGGGGACTTACTTTGTTGCTACTCATCTCTCTCCGGCGTCTGTTGAGGGGTAGGGGCCAGCGTCCTGCAGGTGGCCCGGGGGGCAGGGTTGTGGGGTCACACCTGCAAGCCACCAGAAAGGGTTATGGCCGGAGGCCCTCCCCTGGATGCGGCTGGATCACAGGTCTCACGTCTACCCAACAGCTCTCCTACACGACCCAAACTTTCAGACTCAGGGCTGCAGCCACTTCGTCCTGGTTCCCACGCATACTTCAAGCAGGGAGGGCTCAAAAGTTTCCTAGCGGTCCCAGGCGCCACCTCAGACCTCTGAACGATATGACTCAACGAATTCAGTCATTGGCCAGTGTGATCTTGGGGTCAAGGGCATAGCCATGATTCTCAGAGGTATAGCGGTGTCTCAGCTGAGGGATGGCTACAATCTCAGTCTGGACTAGCCCTGCCTGCCCGCCCCGCGTGCCTCATCCCTAACCCTCCCCCGCACCGCTGGGCCTAGCCCTTCGACACTTCACTTCCCCACCTGTAAGCAGGCCATAACTATTCGGATCTAGTCCACCTCCTGCGACAGCTACAACCCAAGAGGCAGAATGGGATGGTGTAAAAAGGAAGAAAACTGGGCCCGGATCCTGGGAGGGAACCCCGGGTTAGGAGCGCTCCCCTGGGGGCCTCTCGGTTCCTGTCACTATCTCCGCCCCCTGACCTAGCTGCTGTTTACTCCCACACCAAGAATAGCTGGAAACCTCAGGCCGGAGCGCCACACACTCGCCCCGCTCCTGATTGGTCAGGCCCGGCCCCTCCCATCGCCAAGCCCGGCCCCGCCCTGTGGCGTCCCTCTCCGCCCTCCCCAGGATTCAGGGTTCTCCTGGGCCGTCCCTGCGCCCTCAGTCATGGAGACCCCAGACTCCCATCTGTCCCCAGGGGGCAGGCAGGAAACTGAGGCTCATCGGAAGGGAGGCGCGGCTTGTCCTTGAACTCAAACCGTTAGGACAAAAGACAGGAGTCCAGAATCCAGAACCTTAGAGCCGCCCCGTCAGCCCTGCCACCTCCAGCATTCAAAGCGCTCCCGGCTCTGGCTGCAGCTCCCCGATGGACCTCGAGCTTACTACCCTGTCGTGCGCATGCCCCGTGCTCCAGACACCTGGAGCACTCCAGGTCCCAGGCCCACGCTCCACTTTCCCACCTTTGCCTGAGCAGTGCCCTCAGCCAGGACCACGGTTCCCCTGGCCAGCCCCGTCACGGTCCTGCTCTGAGAAGGCCATGATCAGGACAGCATGTCAGATGCCAGTGCGAATGTCGGGTCCACACTTACTGGCTGGGAGGCCTCGAGCAAGCCATGTGACCTCTCTGAGCCTCAGTTTCCTCATCTGTGAAATGGGAATGACAAGAACTGGTAACTCCGGGGTTACTGGAAGGATGCATGCAGATGTGACAAAGGGCATTCAGGGCTTCAAAGTGATGTCCCTCGGCCTTAGGGTTCAATGCCCGCCCCTGCACAAGCCTGTCCCAGAAACAACCCTCCTTCCCTTGACCCCAAGCCAGGGACTACCCCTATATTACGGAACGCGCGCCGGAGCCAAGCTCTTGCTCCCCATTTCACAGATGAGGAGACTGAGCGATCGGAGAGGCAACGCGCCTTGCAGCCCTCCGGAGCGAGCAGGGGGACCCCTGCAGACGCGCTTGTTTGCAGGGCGGAGCCTGAAAAGGTCTCCCCGGAGGGGTGGACAGGCCTGGTGGGGAGCGCTGGCTCCGCTGAGGAGGCTGGGCGCTGAGCTGCGGGTGAGGGCCGCACCCCGAGCTCGCCTGGGGCTTCGCCTCTCCGGGTGCCGGTGGCACGGTGCCCCGAGGGCCGCGTGGGAGGCTCAGCCCCGCCCCCCCTCCTCGGCTGCCGCCCCCCGGG